GACAGGACAATCTTATACGTGTGTGTTACAATCACGCATGAGTGTGAGAAAAGTTACTTTTTCTGAAGTCCCTCTAGAAGAAAAGCTGCTTGTCTATGGTTGCAAAAAATTCAGTAATCATTTTATCCGATGAATAGAATGACTAAACTGATGTTTTGGGGAAATGAGGTTTTAAAATCATGCTTGAGCCAGCAGTTGTTGAACTCACAGGCTCGTACATATCAATAGGATTTGGGCATTCTCAGTTTCACCAAACATAATAGATTTTTAATTTGTTACAATGTTAATTGATGAGGTGCTTGTCAACTGTCTAATATTTCAATTGGACTGAGTCCTATATACCAGTGGTCCCCAACCCCCGGTCCGCGGACCGGTGCCGGGCCGTGGAGTACCTGGCACCGGGCCGCGCAGCGGCCGGGGGACATGAACGCTGCAGCGCAAAGGCTCCTGGGCCGTGCGCAAAAGCTCCTGGGCCGTGCGCAATGGGCCGTGCGCAAAAGCTCCTGGGCCGTGCCCGTACCCCTGCGCGCGCTCAGCGGGCCGCGGCGATAAAAAGGTTGGGGACCACTGCTATATACCAATTGACTTAAGATGGATAACTATAGAAATTGAATGAATGAATGAATGAATGAATGACTATAAATACATACATACATAATACATAATAATCACCAATCAACCTGGATTGGATCCATCCTGGATTCGCCCCAATTTAAAACAGTCTAGCCATTGCTTACATCTGATGAAGAGAGCTGTAGTTCACAAAAGTATGTTTTAATAAAAATGTTTTTTTTTCTGAATAAGAGAAACTGAGACAAATGAATAGTTTGGATTATGAAAATTATATTTCATTCCCAAAAATCTAGGCGCAGTCCAGTGGTCGGTTGCCCCCGGTTCGCACCAGTTCTATAGAACCGGTAGTAAAACCGGCAGGAGGCTCCGCCCACTGACATCATCAAAACGCTTCTGCGCATGTGCATGCTGCAAATCAGTAGTAAAGGTAAGTAGAACCCACCCCTGGTGCAGTCAGTTACGAACATGGTGAAATGTTTCACCAGGACATTGTCACAATGGATAAAAAGATATCATCACGGCAGATGGAATCCACCAATGCTTGCTGATTAGTGTTGGAAACTAAAGTGAGATGCATCGGACATTTGAGTATAAAGAAAGATCAGCAGCAAAACACTTCTGGCCCTGCTTAACTCATGCAACACGTCAAAAGCATTATGCGTTACAGTTATTAAGTTAATTTCATGTTTCTCAAGATTCCTATGACACAGTCATTCTGAAATTTGTTTCTGTTCAGTTTGAAGGAGTCTATCATAATCATCAAAAAAACATTCACCAAGCAAAATAAATTGAAAGAAAAATGCTGTTCGGTGTTTCCAATAGAATCCAATTTTCAAAGCTTCATCTTACTAATCTTTAAAAAAGAAAACAAAAGCAATTTTCCACAGGAAAGATTCTTAAAATTAATTCCAAAATCTTATTTCAAGTTTATCTGGAGCCTTAGTTCATTTGTAACTTTTGAAATTAAACGTTTTAATCAATCTTTTGCTATTTATTTTTTTTTAAAAAGTAAGCCTTAAATCTGTAATTAAGACTTATTTTGTAAAGGTTTGAAGGAAACTCACCCAGTCAAACTTGTCAGTACAAAGGTTCCTAACAACCAAATAGCAGTGAACAAGCAATTTCCCAGTGACTAGAAAAGGAAGTATGCAAACTTAGTACTGTGAGCAAGCAGAAGTTCTCTCCCTGTCCAAAGAAATTTCAGAGTCTTATCAACTTGCTGGCTCTTCATTCCACTAATCTTTGACTGTTTTTCAGGGAGCCATCTTCAGTCTACCATATCTTCCTTGGAAGTCAAATGGAGGGATTTTAATATGTGCAGATGTGCTAGAATGTTGGAAGGAATTTGTGGATGCCCTGGAGGGAGAGGATGCATTCCAGAGGAGTAAGAGGCAACTCAGTCCATTTATTTTGTGTGAAACAAAGAGGGTAAAGACACTTCCCCACTCCTCTTAACAGATCACAAAGTAAATTGTAGATGCAGACAGTAGAGGGAGTGGTCAGTCTAGTAAGATTTTATCTATAGGTGTGACAGTGAAACAATAAAGAACTCAGCATGGAAGAATCACATGTCTTTCTTGGTTTTGGACCCGACACCAAATGGTAGTTGAAAGGTAATGGTTAGCAGTCTGTTGTAATGAACAGCTGTGTATAAATGCATGCTTCTTTGCATCTTTCATATGGAAGATACCAATATCACTTAGATTTATATACTTGTTTTACAACGCTTTACAGCCCTCTCTAAGCGGTTTACAGAGTCAGCCTATTGCACCCAACAATCTGGGTCCTCATTTTTACCAACCTCAGAAGGATGGAAGGTTGAGTCAACCTTGAGCCTGGTAAAATTTGAATTGCCAAATTGCAGGCAGCAGTCAGTCAGAAATAGCCTGCATTACTGCATTCTAACCACTATGCCACCGGGACTCATGTCAAGAGAAACATAAAGGTGTGGATAGATTACTTAAAACTGGGTGTTGAATGAGTGTGGACTAAATATAAAGACGGAGTGAGCACCACAAAAGTTATGTTGAGGTAAGGTCTCGTAGAACGAATGAATGAGGACTGACATGCACAACACGTATATAAAGCTAGAATGAAGGGATAGAGGGGAAAACTGAGAAATTAGTATTTCATAAAATCAATAGGTTTCTTTAAAAAAAGGAAAAAGTTTAAAAACAAAAGGCACTGTGTGAATTGTTTTACGAACAAGGTAGAAGTAAGAACAGAATATGGAGAAGTATAATGAATGGCATTCATCTAATTTAGATTTAGATATATTTATTTTTATTTTAGGAATATTTTACCTGTTATTTGCTACTCTTGTATTTTTTACATAATTTTGTTTATGCTGCAAGGGAATAATACACAGCCCCCTATGATTTCAGGAGGACATACCCTCAAGTAAGCCTATGAAAGATTATAAACTAATTCAAGAATACAGTCTCTGATGTAAAAATCTCTCTGATCTGTTTCCCACACCAGAAACGATGGTCTCTTTACACAGGGACTTAATGAATAATTGACAATTGACTGGATCCACGCAACACATTAAGCTGTAATTGTTTTTATGGTATGCCTCCCAGAGTCAGATTTGTGAGATGGGTGGTTATAGACATTTGATTAAATAAATAAAATAATGCATGGGTATAGAAAACAGTTGGATTCACCAAACAAACCACGTTATGGTTTAGCTTCCTGCATGAACTCCAATTCAAGTTTTTATTAATTGAATGGTACATTTGAACTAATTAAATCTCTTAGTTTTAAGTAGAACACTTTGAAGCAAGTGTAATTTTATGGCATGATTATGACAAACAATGTAATATTGTTTATTATATTTAATTGCACATAGTCTACTTGCAGTCACCACTGGCTTATATAACTTAATTCAATTAAGAAGGTTAGATAAACTGGAGAGGCACTGTTTGTACGAACTGGTCAGGTAACATTTGAAAGACTATTATCAACAAATGTACTTGTTCTTTTTAATGCTATTAGTAGCATAAACACAGTTTGAATGTGTAGTTAAAAGCATTGGGTTAGGATAGGTATGAGTGCCCATTGCTGTCTTGCTTTGTGAAACTGCTCATGGAAAAATAGCCATGTGATCGTAGCTGCTGGAAAATAGATCTCCCAACTGCAATATTCTAAACTAGGATCAATCGTAATAAGAGGATATCTTCTCCAAGGAAAATCACCACAAGGACTTCAACAACTTTTGATTTACATTCCCAAGTGACTGTAAAGAAAATTTGAGATGGAAAATATTGGTGGATATCCTGCTGATGTAAATTGCCTGAAATTTTGCAAGTTTTGCATCCTATAAATATGCATCCTATGTTATGACAGCTAATGTTACAGCAACCTTTGGACAGAAATAAACACTTAAAGGGAAATCCCCACATTCTTCACAAATACAGGAGTGGACCTGTGCCTGAGGCCTTTCAGAGTAGATTTTTAACCTTCTCCTCACCCAACCATACTTTGCCAATCTCCACATATTCAGTTGTCTTAACAGATTTATTTTATCCAGGATAAAGTACCGTAAGGATATTAAATGGAAAAACAGAACAGAACAGCATAAATCAGAGAGAACTAGCAGTTCAGGAGTTGTCTAAGATGTCTAACAATCCTTTCCCGTAAATGCCACCCACCCATGGATTTTGACGGTTTCAGCATAGACTGAACAGAGTCACTGTATTTAAAAAGGTAACACTGTAGAGTCAAAGCCATAAATCAGAGATGCTTGAGTGTGTAAATCACTTTCCAAAAGAGGTTAGCTTTCTGTAGGCCAAACATCTCGTGTTTTTTTTACTGAGCAACAGCCTTCTTCCTAATACATTTAACAGAAGCAAAACTAAGAAGCTAAGTTCAAGAGAATAGCTTCAACTGTGTCTAGAGGCCATGACTAAGCATTGGGCAATTGAACCAATGGGTGGAAATGACACATTATTTGCTATTAATTCATTCCATCAGGACAGGAGAAAAAAATTCTAATGAAGGAATAAATAAAGAGAAAAATCATGCCACTAATTTTATATTACATCAAACAAGTTATTCAAGGAACCCATATGACAGGAAAACAATTTCCTTGTGCCTATAATATTATCTGATGAAATCTGAGTTGCTAGAGGGACACGGGCAGATATGTTTCTTCCCCTAGGAAGAAAATCGTGCTTTCCCACTATTTAGAAATTGTAATTATCTCATAACTATATAATGCAATGTATCTTCTAATACTAATACATACTAATTCTGAGAACAAATCCAGGCTTATTTATTGATGGAGGAAAATAACCATGAAAGAAAGCCTTGTCTCTGTTCTTATCATCAGTTGAAGAAAACATCTTGGATGGATTAGACTAAAGTATAATATATTGTAAAGTTGTTAGAGTGATGTGACATTGTAAGAAAAAGTGGTGGCAAAGAATTTTTCCCCCAGTTTATTTTAAGGCTTAAAAGAATAATACAGTGTCAACCTTGATATATGCTCTTTATCCTCAGTAATCCTATTATTAATAATGCTGCTGCTGCTGTTAAAATGATAATACCCTAATGAATACAAGCTCACTGCAACTAAGAAGACGCTAAGTTGCTCTCAACTTGTTATATTTTGGAAAATGAATGTAAGGTTGTCTTTTATCCTGTCAAGGAAGGGATCAGGGAGATTTTTGTGATCCACACAAAAGTGTTTCCATTGCATCAGTTGTGACATAGTCAGAGACTTTTTGACTTTCACATCACTTTGGCTACTCTGGTCATCTTGGATCACAGGACAGCCTAAGAAAAATAACAGGAAGAAAATATGAGCTGATGAGAAATATTCAACACTACTTCAACATTTTGAAACAAGGATGTTTATGCCTATAAAAATGCCTTGGTTGAACTCCAGGTACTTTAGATCAGCAGTCACCAACTGGTGGTCCATGGACCACCAATGGTCCGCAAGAAAATTTTGGTGGTCCGCAGAAAAATTATTTGCATTTTTTATGTTGCACTAAATCAGGGGTCTTCTACGACCCCTGGGCCAGATACGTGCAATGAACATTTGTGTTACTGCAGAGAGTCTCCCCCTTCAGGCTCTTCTTGTGTGGGTCGGAGGGGGGCAGAAATTCTGACTTGGGGTTTGCTTCAGCCTCTTGGTACGGGGCTTTGGGCAAAGGCTGGAGGGAAGTGCTGCCGGTGGCGAAGAGCCGGAGGGCCTTGTTCCAGTGGGACTGCATCATGGCCTGGAACTGGCTGACTATCTCATCCTGCTGAGCCTCCAGGCGCCAGTACCTGGCCTTGCACTCCCGCAGGTCTTCCCTCTGCTTGGAAAGCCTATGCTCCTAGTCCTCAGTGAGGTGCTTCTACTGAGCCTCCTTCTCGGTCACATCCAATTTGAACTGAGCAGCTGTTTTGCCAACTCTTTCTCGTGGTGGCTGTTTAGCTCCAACAACTGCTTCCTGTTGGGGCCTTAGGGAGCTCAGGTGGGGAGGCAAGGAGTGGTTGGCAGGGGAGGAGTGAGTAGAGGCGATCAAGGCGCCCCTTGATGTGAGTGACATTGAGTTGACTACACCCACCCAGTCACATGACCACCTACCCACGCCCACCCATCCAGTCATTAGGCAGATCATATTGGTCCATGGGTTTTAAAATTATGAATTTAGTAGTCCCTGAGGTCCAAAGGATTGTTGACCCCTGCTCTAGATGACAGAATAACAGAATAACAAAGTTGGAAGGGACATTGGAGGTCTTCTAGTCCAAAGAAACCATATACTATCTCAGACAAATGGTTATCCAATCTCTTCTTTAAAACATCCCGTGTTGGAGCATTTACAACTTCTGGAGGCAAGTCCTTCCACTGATGCCTGAGACAAACAGGAAACTATGGCTAAGAAGCGACTTGCTGGATTATTCTCCTCTAACCTGACATCCTGTTTCCCAGAGTGGTTAACAAAAGATAACCATCCTCTCCCATTTTTTTCTCCCTGCAACCTTATCAACTGACCACTGTAATGTATCTAGTAGACATCAGACACTTCTGATTGCTTATTTTTCAGAACTTTGTTAATCCCCCTTTGAAACAGAGAAGGGTCTCACTGTTTTCTAGCTCTAAAACTCAAGATTGCATGATGAGTAACAGTGGCCAGGCTTTCTAAGTTTTGGGGGCTCAGTAATAAGTAAGGTAGACCTTGGCATCTGAAAACTTTTGAAAGTGCAGTTGCTGCCTGTAACATGGCTACTGACTCTTATTTTGTCCTGACGACTGGCTGCCATTATACTTGGTACAACCAATTCATCATTTACCTAACTACAATATGAAGAAATATATTCTTTTAACTGACCTGAATCTGTATCTATAATTATAACCAAGTTAAAAATTTGCACAGAATGACATAGGCTTCAAGTTTCAACTCTCCATAAAGAAACAATATACTGACATCATAAAATTGCTCACCAAGTCCACCAATCCTAGCTTCTGCAACAGGGGTGCCTGCAAGGAGGGTGGGAGGTCAAAAACGGCAAGGGGGCAGCCACAACCATGCAATCAAAGATCCCCCCTTTTTTATATGCATCGCAGCTTTGACTGCAGAGTTGTGGCCATCATCAGCAAACTTTTTTGACCCTTCTGCAAGCAATCAGTTTGCAATTTGAAAGTGGGGGGAAGCACAGTTTTAATTTAATTTAATTATTTCAATTTATATGCCGCCTCTCTCCGATGACTCAGGGCGGCTCACAATACATTTTAAAAAATCATTATAAAAAAACATTTAAAAATTAAAAACATTAAAAACTCATTCACTCCATTCATGGCCGTATCTCACCAGATCACAAGAGCGAGTTCAACGGCCCCAGGCCTGCCGGAAAAGCCAGGTCTTCACCGCTTTTCGGAAGGCCAATAGGGTGGGGATGGTCTGGACCTCAGGAGGTAACTGGTTCCAGAGAGTTGGGGCAGCCACAGAGAAGGCCCTCCCGCGTGGGCCTGCCAGCCAGCATTGTTTAGCTGACGGGACTCGGAGGAGACCAACTCTGTGGGATCTTACCGGTCACTGGGAGCTATGCGGCAGAAGGCGGTCTCAAAGATAACCTGGCCCTGAGCCATGTAGGGCTTTAAAGGTAATAACCAACACCAACACCTTGAATACTATCCCATGTATGAAATAAGGCAGGAGCCACTCAGAAAAGGTCACCTTGATTATCTTTCTTTCCCATACAGTTACACTCCAGCAAATCATGGGTCACACAATTGGAATCTTCATGCAATGTAAAGAGGTTTCTAAGTTCTTCGACAGAAAAACGGATATGCTCAGATCCCTTGGAAAAGTCTACAACTGCTCCAGAGAGAGCTTGCTTGCTGATTTGTCTCTGATAGATTTTCTCCTCTATTGTGCCTGCATTGAAGAAAGCAAACATTCATTCACTTCCTGAAAATAATGACCAGAAATAGGCAAGAAGCATAAATTCATGAATGGTCAAAGCCATTGGTACTAACCAATGGGGTTTAAAAAAGCATTGTAACTATGATATTGCAGACCTGTAGTGAGCAGTCTGTAAATATGAACTGTATGCCTCTGTCCATCTCTCCACACTCTGGCCATTGCCTGCAAGACAGAATGAGACAATAAAAATGATGGATAAGGCCTTCCAGCTAATATGCTTGGCAATGTTATTTCACTATGTCTGCTTATTTAATTTTGTTTCTAAAAATCTGGCTACAATCAAGCTCCTGTTTTACTATGGGTGAGTTCATGAAGAAACAAATGAAATTTTTGGCAAGTTTTTGACCGATTGACTAATTACGTGACATCAGGTCAATCTTGAACCATGTAGATGGTCCTCCGTGACAATGTGTCAAAAACACATTGACAAAAGCTTGACTGACTGAACAAAACATTGAGCATCCTGTATGTAATTTTTTCTAAGAAGTCAACCCCTGCCATTTCACGCACATTGGCTTTTAAAAATATACTCACTTAGTTAAATAGGTTTAAATCATTAAAAGGACTTCAGTTAATTCTGATTGATGCTAATAGCTCTGCAGTCTCAATATTAAAGAATGTAACAAACCTGAATATCAGTTGCTGGATTCCAGTCAATATCATACAGGATTAAATGAGATGCTCCAACAAGGTTCAAACCTACACCACCAGCTTTTGAACTTAACAGAAAGATGAAGGCTGGGCAAAATTTACTATTGAAACTATCAACAATCTGTTGCCTCTGGGAGACGGGGGTGCTGCCATCAAGTCTAGTATAGGGATATCCAGATCGTTGGCATACTTCTTGTAATATATTTAACGTCTGTGTATAGTTAGATACCACAACGACTCTGCAAGCATGGAATAGAGAAAACTGGTTATTAACAAATTCCATCTATGTTGATGGAACAAAATTATTTTAATACTAGTTTGGTTTGCATCTTATAATACAATAAACAAAATTTTCAGTTCTCTGATAGGAACTAATGATACCAACTGAATTATGGGCCCAAATTTATAGTGTCAATTGTCAATTATTATATAAGAGATTGTGCTAAGAGGAAAATGTGCCATGTAAGTTTTGTGTACTTGTTATTTATTCATATGAAGGACTTCAAACAAAAAGAAGATGTCAGTAAACCAAGGATGTATAGCAATAGTGCCTTAGTGAAATGATAGGCTAAGGGTATTAGAAGGCCAGTGGGAAACCATATGTTTGGGCAGAAGGCAAGTCCCACTACAGTGAAACAGGCAGAGACCTGAGAAGATAGCACAGATACAGCACATGTCTGTTGTGATAGACATGAAGCAGGGAGGATATTTCTGCTTTCATTTCTATAAGGAAGAATATCTGTTCCACCAGGAAGCCTATGTGAAACCAACCTTTATTTGATCTTACATGAGATTAGGCCAGAAAAAAGAAATTGTGTTTTAGAGAAAGAATTTGTTGGGAAATGCCACAGTTAATTATTAAAAGGAAGGTAGCTTATATTTATATATGGAATTTTCACATATATAAATTTCACATTTTCAGCTATATATCATTACTCCACCTACAAGGTTTGTTAAGGTTATTAAGCACAAACATAATATGTTTGTATTTCATATCTCTATGCATGGTTTATTATTAATGAATTGTCAGTGGCTATATTTTTGACTCTGCTTCTCTGCCATCAGCTGTCCAACATCAAAATAGTATATTGGCAGGAAAAATATTGGCAAGCAAATATTGGGTTTTCTCCTGGGATAGATTTAGAATAAATATATAAATCACTGACAAACAACTATCAGATAAGAATGTAGAGAATTGGAAACTAATGAATAAATTCATTCATGTTCCCTGAACAAAAATCTAAAAAGACGTATGAGAATTTACTTCAGTCTTCTGAAGAGATCAGTTTAAATGAAAGAGCAATGACTACCAAGGTCCATAGCACTAAAGATGGTAAATACAATAGCTAAGAACTAAATTAGAAGCCATTATGTCTCTTGTCTATGGAGATTCTCAGTCATCCAGGTCATGGTTGCCCCAAAGGTGCTTTTTCAACAGGCAACTGGACTTTCTGGTTTTTCTTTGAAGACGTTTCGCTTCTCATCCAAGAAGCTTCTTCAGCTCTGAAAGAAAAACCAGAAAGTCCAGTTGTCTCTTGAAGAAGTACCTTTGGGACATGATGTCTCTTGTTTAGAAAAAAGAACTAAACTATAAGATTCACACACACTCAAACTGTGCTTTCAATTTAAATAGCCTTCCTACCTTTCTGAAGATCCACGTTCATGAATTGCTGCCAGCATCTGCGTTAGCACCTTCAACTTTCCTGAGTCACTCTCAGAGAAATTTGTCTGAGCACTTTCTTGAGAAAAAACATCACGTAAACCACCATAAAGGTTTGTCTGATCTTGGTTATCACGAGACTCAGATTCTTTCTTCTATGGAGAAGAGAATTTTGGAAAAGTATGTGACTGTTTCAATGACATTCCAACTAAAGCCATATCCATACTTTCTGCTTGTTCCCATTGTCATGTCAAACCACCCACTATTTCCTGAATGCAAGAATGGACAACATTGTCCTCCACATGCACAGAGCCTATTGCAAATGTGCCTCGCGATTATGTTTTGAAATTTCACTTATAAAGTTGGCTTTTCCATTCTGATGCATCTTTTTTCTTTTAATAATTTTTATTAATATATTCTATGCACCAATATACAAATGAAATATACAATCCTGCCACCATGGTGTAATGTGAGTACATTGTCCATAAATATAGTCATTCCTTTATACATACATACTTGCCATCATATATATAAATCACATATCTATTCTACCCCACCTTTTCTGGACCCAATCGTACCATAATTTCCAACTGTTATAAAATTCTGAATCTTTTTTACCATTGATCAATCTAGGCAATCTATCTGATTCCGCACACTCATTAATTTTATATATTATTTTCAAATCTGATGCATCTTAAGCCCTTCCAGTTAGTCTACCATTTTTGCATTCCAATGTAATGATATTCCCAGCTTTGATCAGTTCTAGATTATGGATTTTTAATGCTGTAAATCATCTAGAGTTGCGATGTATGAGCTGGACAGCCATATAAATTTGTTTCATAAATAAAATGTTTGATTTCCGTATTGATTGAAAGTCATGTATGACCTTTTCATGGATCGGTTATTGTCTCCCAAGTCCTTCTGGAAGAAGCTAGTTGGAGAAAACAATGCATATTTCTTCGAATAGATTAAAATCTGTAATGATTGCAGACTTAAATGCCTACCAAACAATTCTAAGAATCTATTCTAAGAAACATATTGAAACATAATTCAATATGCACACCTGTATTGCTTTCAAGAGCAGGCAGGGATGGTTACAAAGTTTTTTCAAAGCCCCGATGCATATCAAATGTGGGCTATTCTCCAAACTTCCTTGTAGGCAAGATCTAACAATCTGAGAGCTCAAAAGACTTTGATAAAGAGCAAGCTGCAACATTGTTGGACGACAGAAAAGTATGCTCTCCTTTTTGGGGGGCAAGAATTTGTTGATGACCTCTTGCGTTCTTCTAAGAATGAAGAGTCCTGTTAGATGCATCAGCTCTGCTGCCCTTTTCTCACCTAGTTCAGTGTCTTCCTAGAAAATAAAATGGAATATCAAATTAGTTCATGACCCTTTATTCATTCTTGCTTACCATAAAAAGGTCCCTTCCTTCACAGAAGCTTCCTTAGAGTCTGGAACCCTAAACATAACTCTCCTCCCTCTTCCCAAAGTGCATGAATTCTTCTCCCTGTGTCTGCCCTTGCACTCCTATATCATTTCCCCTTGCTCTGGAGTTCAGACAGAACATAAACTTCTAGCCAGAAATCCCAATGAGTTAAATAAAGTTTTTATGCCTAGAATATTTGGAATAGGGTTGCAGTCTAAATTTACTCTTCTTAAGCTTTATATTTCCCTTGCTCCTCAGATTTGCATTAAACAATTTTGAAATAAACTCAGCAACTCATCAATGTCTTAATCTGATTGATTCTTAAATTTTTATCCTACCTTCCTAAGCAATCAAGGCGGCTTAGAACAATAAAACTAAGCATAAAATAAAAAAAACTTGATAATAAAATCTATACATTTATTAAAACTACTATAATTAAAGCCAATTAGCTTGGTGAAATAAATATTTTTGCCACATTTTCCAATATACTGAGAGGGTAAGACTTTTCCTTAAGTGTTCCTTAAACACTTTTCCTCAGAAAGAGCACTTAATAATTTGGAAGTCATAGATGAAAAGGTTCAGTTCCCTGTACTACATGATAAGGTTTTTTTAGCACAGAACTTTCTCTTCCTGTTTCTAGAGTATCTTCAATAGTTACTCTTTGTAATGGTAGTTATACAATAAAGAAATGTAAACATAAAAAATGTATTGCCTCTCATAACAAATTACTTATCCCTCTAACAGTAAAGAAACCTTATGTCTCTTAATTTTATGCAATCAGTAAAAAAAATCACAAATTCCAATTGTTGTGAAAACAGACCTCAGCTGCTGAAGGTTCTCGCGATCTAAGAATAGGCTCCTCATACACCTTTTTGTAGGCAGATAAAGGACCAAGTATTCCAGGATTTACATATTCTATTAAAGCATAAAACTCTTGAAGATCATTTTGTACTGGAGTACCTGGAGAGACAAAATATAATTTCGTGAATAATAAAAGAGGGCCAATTTTGTGTAAGTGGTTAAGACCCCAGATTAGAAACTGGGAGATTGTGAGTGCTAGTCCAGCCTTAGGCACAAAGCCAGCTAGGATGTTGTGGTCCGCCAGCACCCTGCGGAGCTGGCAGCAGAGTCGATAGTGAGGAGGCTGGCAGTGGTGAGTTTTAATTTTTTTTACTACCAGTTCTGTGGGCATGGCTTGGTGGGTGTGGCATGGCTTGGTGGGCGTGGCAGGGGAAAGATACTGTAAAATCTCCATTCCCACCCCACTCCAGGGGAAGGAAATGGGGTAAAATCCCCATTTCCTCCGGATCAGCTGAGACTTGGGAGGCAGAGAATTGATGGGGCTGGGGCCAGTCAGAATTTTTACTACCGGTTCTCCGAACTACTCAAAATTTGCACTACCGGTTCTCCAGAACTGGTCAGAACCTGCTGAAACCCACCTCTGGAGGCTGGGGAGGAACTTGGGCCAGTCCTGGAATCTGGGGAAGGCTTGGATGAGGGCTCTGCGTCCGAGGCAGAAAAACGGCCATCTGGGAGGTATGTGCTGCCTCCGGAGCCTCCAGAGTCGGACCTCAGCGAGGCAGAGGAACAGGGGGAGCCCGTTCCCAGTGCGCACCTGCGCAGAGCTGCCAGAAGGCAAGAACATTTAAAACAAAAGGGACGACTCGGGAGTAGGGCTTGGAGATGATTGGCCCCTCCCATAAGACTTAAAAGAGGAGCAAAGGCATGTGGGCCTTTGCAGGAAGCAACGTTGTTAATTCTGTGCAGCTTAAAGTCTGAAGTTCTGTTTGATTCTGGACTCCGTGTGGTTTTGCCAATTAGGTCTTTGGCAGCGTGTCAAGGGAGATAAAGGTGGGTGATTATCAGCCTTATCCAGAAGGACTCTTTACAACTATTTGGGACTCATCTGTGAATGAACAGAATTCACAGCTGTTAAAATAAAACAGGTTTTTGGGACTACTCGTGTGTTTTACTAACTCAGGAAGCCTAGGTCAGAACATAGAGCCATTCATACTCTTTCAACCCTAGGAAGCAGGGAATAGCAAACCACTTTGGAATTTTTGGGAAGAAGGGACTACTCCAGGCAGTCTCCAACTGTCAAAACTGACTTGAAGGCACAAATACACACACACATATACACACACACCCTAATTAGATTTTTATTCACTTTTTAATGCACCAATATAAGGGAACAACAATTTTTTTTTTTACTGTAAGTTGAACAGTGTTGAATGTATATTTTATCGACAAAGAAATAAAGGGAGACTAGTATACATCTATTTCAAGCTATTTAGCTCTCATCAGCTAGCCATACCCTTTCTGGGATTCGAACCCGTGCTACTTGCATATTAGGTAGATGTATTAGCCTCACAGGCTTGTGGTGAGTGAATAATGATATACACACCAGTAAGAATAATTCTTCTTTCACAGGAGAGGCTGAGAAGAGCAGCAGTTGTCTTAATAGAACTGTTTTTCAAACGATGTCCTTCATCACAGATGACAAGGCTGAATTCTATCTTCTGAATTTGGTCCAGAGACCGTAGAAACATCTCATAACTAAGGATCAGGACTGAATAAAGGGGGGAATTGATGAATTCTTCCACTTTGTGATCCTGAACAATGTAAAGAGAATGGAAAGTTATGCGGAAATGGGAACGCTGGGATTCTAAATAAAAGTGAATCTATGTCTAAATGTATGTCTTACATATATAACTAAATGTATTGAATTATTCTGAATTAATTTATGAACAGTCATTGACAATAAGATGGGATGACTAACTTAGTTTAAATGACACACAATTATTTTTCTCCTGTATGCTTCCAATGACCAATTTTTAATTCTGAATATTAATGAAAAAGATTCTACTCCAATATCCAACTGGGAGACACCATTAGGTTTCCTTCTTTCCTGTTCACTTTCCAACTAATGTTTTTTTAAAAAGTTTTTTATTAGTAGTTCAAAATTAAAAACATTGGACATAGATATGACATCACTGGTCCCAAGCATCTTCCAACAGTTTAAGTTAATACATAATATACTAATGATAATATAATAATATATTCCTTACACCTTATATGTTATTTAAACATAGTATAATAATAGTATTGAATGAAGTTTTCCAACCAATGTTAACCACCTTCTATAACAATTGAACATTTTAGTACATACAGTATGCCTATGCCACTGCTTTCAGGAAGAAATGAAAAAAGGAAAATGTCCATACTGAAAGGCTACTTTTAAATCACAAGCACTGAAAACCAGCAGTTGAGTTGCAAGCCTGCAGCCTCCATTCATTTGACTGCTATTTCATAGAGTGAATTAAGGTCTTAATTACAGTTTGTTAAATAATACCCCACTCATAATGCTAAATTTTCGGGTTGACAAACTGTATTAAGCCCAAATAAGTAAGACACATTCTAGCTCGCTGCTTCATGTGAGCCCAGGAAGTGGATGAAGAGAAGGGATGTGAAGTTACATGTCAATGAAATTAAATCAAAAGAGTTCTATAAATGCAGGTGAACTTCATCTAAATGTTTGGGAATATCTAACATAATTATTAGTGCGATGTGGTGGCTCAGTGGTTAAGACGCTGAGCTTGTCAATAGAAAGGTCGGCAGTTCAGTGGTTTGAATCCCTAGTGCCGCGTTAACGGGGTAAACTCCCATTACTTGACCCAACTTCTGACAACCTAGCAGTTCAAAAGACGTAAAAAATGCAAGTAGAAAAACAGGGACCACCTTTGGTGGGAAGATAACAGTGGTCCGTGCGTCTTTGCCGTTTAGTCATGCCGGCCACATGACCATGGAGACATCTTCGGACAGTGCTGGCTCTTCGGCTTTGAAACAGAGATGAGCACCGCCCCCTAGAGTCGGGAACAACTAGCACATACGTGCGAGGGGAACCTTTACCTTCACCTAACATTTATTAGGGATAGATAGGAGTGTAATTCTTTGTTCACCTGATCAACTAAGAACACTTTGATTCTCTCGTTTCCCAACCATTTCTGAAATTCCTTTCCCCAGTTCTTCACCAGACTTCCAGGAGTTACTATCAAGGCTCGTTTTATTACAGGCTTGCATCCATAAGGTCCTTGACGCAGGAGAGTCCAGATGAGTGAAATACACTGCAGTGTTTTTCCTAAACCCATTTCGTCTGCAAGAATGGCGCCAAATCTATTGCTCACTCTAAGACACAGACAGCAAGGAAAAAGAAAGTGATTACTGTATAAAGTAATTTCAAAAAAGCCTTGGCCATTTAATCGAACATCATAGGCATCCTTATAGTTTGGCAATATAGCAAAAGAGTATTTACGGATCAGCCTTTTCATTTCATTGATTTAGTTTTTTTTATTCCAACATGTCCATACAAAATAAAAATATATGAAATTAAATATGATTGTTGATGGTTATATTTTTACATAATATTGTTCATTTTTTGTTATAGGTTAGATTTTGTTGTGCTTGTACAGTTAGGTAGATTGGATTGAAAGGGCATAACAGTACTTGTAGTAAAATAAATAGGTACAGATACTCAGATCTGAAATCAGAAGGGTTAGAGCAAGGTGTAAAACTCAATTTCATTGAGGGCCGCATCAGGGTTGTGTTTGACCTCAGCGGGCCTTGTTGCCTATTAGCGTGAGGCTCTGGAGAATTCCCTTTCTCCAAAGTATGTGAATCATGCTTTCCTTGCATTTAAGGGCGTGGCCAAAGTGGGCATGGCCAGCTCGACGTCACTTGTGTCGGGGGCACCTGTGATGGCCCGAGGGCTCTGCCAGTGAAAACGGGCTCCCGGGCTCCATTTTCACCTATGACAGCCTCCTGCAACTGTCTGCCAGCAAAAACAGAGCTCAGGAGGGCCACATGGCAGAGGCACCGCGGGCTGGTCGTTCGCTGTTTCCAGGTCGGCCCTGCGGGCCAGATCTAAGCACCCCACAGGCCAGTTCTGGCACGCGGGCCTTGAGTTTGACACCCCTGGGTTAGAGAAAGAGGCTACAGGTTGTTGTCTTCCTTCATTCAGATTGTATCCTTGAGAAAATATGCCGAACCTGCCCACTTGAATGTATTAAAATATTATATTTTAGGTGAAGAATGTTTCTACAGTGATAAATGAAATTTAAAAGGAGGAGCAGAGAATGTGAAAATTTGAGATAAGGCTGATAGGTGATCCAGATAAACATCAATGTTTCCTTCATGAAACTATAGTACTCCTTTTGTTATTATCTACATTATCTCCCAAACCTTCATCAAATTTGGCAAAGCTGTCCTGTCTTTTGGAGAATGAATAACCAAGCTTTTGTTGGATAAAACTGAACTAATAAAATTGCTTTGTGCCCTTCCCTCTGGTGGGTGAAGGCCCTAATTTGGTGGCAGACTTGAGCACAATAAATTCTATGAAATTATTAAATCAGATTAACATCATACTTTTAATTTTGCTATAGTGTGGTCTCATCAGCTTCCCTGTTAATATATACAGTAATATGATGAACAATATTCCTAATTATTTCTTTGAAGGGAGAATTTTCCAGGGGATAAGCAGTTGTATTATTCATAAATAGAACCATTCCTCTGCAAAATGTCTCAAAATGTCTCAACAAAAGATCTGCCAGGGCTTCACTGACTTGTTGCTTGTATTCTCTGACTTCTAAAGATTTATCTGAAGTAGACTTCAAATTCATCCATTTTTGCAATATTTTTAAAGCTTTTGTAATATGCAGGGATGGAGGCGGGAGAGACAATTATCTCTGTCAAAATCACAGGTTTAAAAATATTATAATTATAGAATTTGGAGCTTTCAACCAAACTAGCAACAAATAATTTTTCTCCAGCCTAGATCTTAATTTCTACCAGAGAGAGCGAAAAAGCCCTTGTAGAAAAGCTTTAGCAAAGCTGCATGAGTAAGATTTTTTTAAAAAGACTCCTTCAAGTCAAGGCCAACTTCTGGTAACAATATGGACAAGATTGCAGAGTTTTATTGGCGATAATGAGGAAACAATTTGCTACTGCCTTCTTCTACAAAGTTGCTTGGCTCCTCCCGTTACAACTCACCCATTTCCTTTTGGTCTGTCATTCTAATATTAACCATGTCTGAGCTCACTTATCTTCTTTGAGATCAGTCAAGGTTACCTAAGCCTGACTCCTGGGCTCCACCTTGTCTATGTGACTTTATCATTCAGAGGGTATTTTAATTTTTTAAAAATAGTATATTTGAATGCTGTAAAACAAAATATCAGCTTCCAAGATCATTTTTATATCCAACAATGATAGTGTTCCTCCCCATGGCTGCCATGTTGTAAATGGCTCCAGTAGTTATTTTCTGACAATGCCCATAAGATTCTCTGGAAATGCCAAATGTGACCACCGGCTCAGAATGATGATTTATCAGCTGATGATAGAGACAAAATCTTGTGTTTTTGGTCTGCTTTTGGTCAAGCAGGCCAAAGCTGACAGGTACGCAGTGAAGTAATGTTTTCCCTTCTTTGTATTTAACTGTATTGTTTATTTCTGTTTATTTGGCTAAGCTTTCTTGTTTGGGGAAATACAATGTGCAGATTTTATATAAACTAAGAAACCACAATAGCTCTTATAAATATGCTATAGCTGTAGGCCACTGCTTTGTTATGGTTATTGTATTACTCTCCATATAAAGAGTCCACATTATCCTCATATACTATTCTCCTCCTTTGACCTATGTGCAGTGTCTCCTCTGTCTCTCCCCCCCACCCTTTTCTTTCTCTTTCTTGCTATTTGCAATCTCCATCGTTGACATCCTGCAGAATTTTTTGAGGAATAAGGAGTATCTAGAACAAGTTTTGCACAAATGCCGTTTTCTAGCAGGATGGATGGATGGATGGATGGATGGATGGATGGATGGATGGATGGAAGGAAGGATGGATGGATGGATGGATGGAAGGAAGGAAGGAAGGAAGGAGGAAGTTGGTTGGTTGGTTTTTTCACATTTCTGTCATTGCTCAGGCTAGAAGTTTGCTTTTGTTTTTGTAATTGTCGCCACCTCTGCCTAGCTTCCCCATAGTCATCTCCCTGGCTCTCTAAAGGCTAAAACTGTATCAATACGATCTTCACAAAAATGTCGCTGAAAATCGCGCCTAGACAGACATAACTTTTTCTCCTCAGCTTTAGCATTTGAAGTTTTTACAATATTCCAATGGCAAATGCGTCAACTTTTCCCAAAATCTACCAACATTCTGAAAGACTGAGAGATCAACAACAAGGAAACCATCAGCTTCTTACCTCATTCCCATCACACATTCATAAAGAAACAGAATTCCTTCTCGCTGATGTGGGCGAAGATGGCTTGTAATGTAAGGGTCTACAACCACATCCACAACAGGCAAATGTGACTTGTTAAACAATCGCTGGTGACTTGGGCACGGATATGGCATAACTAAGGAATCTTAAATTTCAAACATAGGTGGTGTCAGTGCAAAAGTATTAGTTCAAAGCAAAAGCTACCAATTTTCTAGGTGAAAGACAAAAAAAATCTTTGCCAAATTCAAACCAAAACATGCAAATAACCTTACCCTTTTAATCCTCAAATTGACATAGTTAATACACAATTAGCAGTGTCATATAAACAGCCTTCTCTAAGATGTTTAATATTAAACAAAGAGGAAAAACTTATAATTCTGAACTACATGGTGATATTTGTTCAAGAATTTCTTAAGATTAAATCAACAAAATGACACTTTGCTTCACTGTGTTATATTCCAACGTTAATTTCCCAAATAATCCAGCTTTTAGGAATGTATCAAAATTTTGAGTCCCGTATTAGGCATGAAAGTCAGCTGGGTGACTTTGGGCCGGATATTTTCTCTCAGCCCAATTCACCTCACAGGGTTGTTGTTGTGGGGAAAATAGGAGGGGGAAGGAGAATTAGATATGTAGTTACTTAATAAAGTAAAAAAGGTGAGATAAAAATCAAATAAATAAATAAAACTTGAAATAGGCTACTAAGACCTGATTTTAAATAGGTAGAAGTTTGAGTAAAGTTGTAAAAATAAAGAAATCTTTCTGGTTGTTCTGACCATAGAAAGGTTAGTCTTAGGTTGAAACAAGATGTCCCCAAATGTCCCTATATTTATACCGACACTTCCATTCAGTTAAAAGAAATATTGCAGATACACAGATATCTTACGTAGATATAGGCCAGGGGTCAGCAACCTGCAGCTCTGGAGCCGCATGTGGCTCTTTCACCCCTCTCTGCGGCTCCCTGTCACTCAAAATATGTGTCACAACCACCAATGTGCGACATCCACCGACATGCGATTTATTGAGCTTTTCAACCCACCTACCCACCCCACCCCCGGTAGGCCAACCATGGATAAATCCAAGAAAAGAAAAGTTTCAGAAAAAAAAAGAATGTTTAATTCAACTACATATGCTAGTTTTGTGGCCGCTCAAGAAATAGTCAGGCACGGGAAGGGTTTTGTGGCTCCTGGTGTTTTCTTTTCTGTGGGAAATGGGTCCAAATGGCTCTTTGAGTGTTTAAGGTTGCAGACCCCTGGTATAGGCTGAAGACCCTGAAAGAATTCTTGTTCCAAAGACCATTATACTGAATAAATATTCAACAAACTATTGTACTCTGGCCTGGGTTCTCAAATGTTTGCTTTGACTCCATCTTCCAGTAGCTAAGCATGCTACTTTAAAATAATTATAAGGGATTTTAGGCTTATAGCATGTTCTAAATGAGAAGCAACCTAAAACAAAATTTGAGTTCAGAACTGACAAGGAATAACACGTGTTTGAACAAGCAACTGTATTTTCCATAATTCTTGATCACTAGCTTAGTGTCTGGAATTTATATTTGGAGAATAGTAAGTTGCCTACTCATGAGCTAAGTTTCTTAACTTTGCTGCAAATCAGATAGCAATCTCTCCAATCTATCAGGGAGGAATATATTTGCCAGTTTACATATGATTTCTGTTTTCAGATATGTCATTTTTCAGTCCATCTAGATGTCATCAGTGCCAAGTTTTATTTTATACTGAGAATTCTGAGAATGAGAAAAAGATTTTGGTTATCCAATTCACCCATTTAATTAGTTAGGCCTTCCCCAAGTTAATTTCCGCTTTATATGTTGAGACTATGACTGGAGTGAATTCCAATATAAGTGCAACAGTTAGAGGGAGTCTGAATTAGATTTAAAATACTAATTCACTTTCTTTAGAAGGGGATAGAACAGAGATAGACAAATTAACGCAGATAAACTCAAAGAAATCCTTACTTGGAGCTAACGGATCATGGCGTGGTTTACAGTTAGACCAGTTTTCTTTAGTATTGGCTTTGGAAACATTTTTGAAAGGGTTACAAAACCGCTTTGCAGAAGCAACTGGGGAATTCCAAATTTCTTCTGTGTTCTCCAGACCAGACAGAAAACACTTGCCACTTTTAAAGTCCTCTTCCAATATCACACCCATCACTTCAATTTCTTTGCTTCCAATCATCAGACTCTGACCTTCAGTGAGATTGTCTAAGATTCTGAACTGATATCCAGTGCCTAAGAGAAATTATAAAGGTCATGTGGAGGTGTATGGATATAAATAAATAAAGAATACATTTGGTAAAGTAAATCTTACAGTTTTAAGAAAAGCTGAATACCGATAGTTTATATTTATGACACAATAATATTTTTAAATAAAAATATTAAATAGCTCTATAAGTTTTTGAAAGACATCAATAACATCCTCAACATAGCTTCTTTATTTTTATGGCACAGTATCACTTTAAAAGAAGGTAAACATCAGCTCCATTTGATGCCAAAATGTTACCCACCTCTCCAAAATACAGATTACATGCAAGAAGCTTTCCAGAGATCTGGTATTCATGAAGGCAGGGGGGGGAGGGGGGACAATTTCTAAGCCCAAAATTCACAAACACTTTCCTGAAAATATCTTACACCCTCATTTACTTCACTAAATGAATTCCTAACTTATCCAATCCTACTAGGCAATAGGAGCAAAAAAAGCTTGATTAACAAGTTAATGAGTAATGCATGAAAGCTAGCCCTTGTTGCTAAGCAATATAGTGCAGAAAATGGTTGATCTCCCTTTTATTTATAATTGTGTTAGCAGCACCAATTATTATTTTTCTGAAAACAAAGAACCCTATAATACCTTAGAGACAAGCACATTTATGTAAATAGTTGTGGGGAATGGGTCGCTGTGCTTATTGCATAAGCATGTAAGTTTTGACTGAAATGTTAGAGACTGTCCTTCATTTGGTAATCATTGCTACTTAACAATATTTTGTACAACTGCCTCCCACTCACCACCCTCCTAGAATAATAATGCTATTCAGCTATAATTTGTTTGGATACCGTTGACTCCTAATAAGTTGGTCTAAGAGAGTGACTGGCCCAAGGTCAACCAACTGGCTTTCATGGCTAAGGTGGGACAGAACTCACAGTCTCCGGCTTTCTAGCCTGATGCCTTAACTACCGTATTTTTTGGACTACAAGATGCACCTTTTTCCCCCCAAAAAGAAGGTGAAAATCTGGGTGTGCCTTATACTCCGAATAGCCCTGCCCAGCCTCACAAACTGAGATTTCAGAGGCTGAAAGAAGCCTCTGAAAGAAGCTTCAGGAAAAAAAGCCTCCAAACAGAGCTTCAGAAAAAAAGCCTCTGAAAGGCTTTTATCTAAAATAATATGGCAAGCAACAAAAGAAGAATCAGTAAAGGTTCTAACCAAACTATGCTAACAAATCTGAAGAATGACACAATAACCAACAGATCGGAAGAGGTTAATCTATATACCAATACCAAAAAAAGGAGATTGAACAGAGTACAGATAGTCCGTCAGAATAAAAGCCTCTGAAAGAAGCTTCAGAAAAAAAGCCTTTTCTCAAGCTGTTTCGGAGGCTTTCAGAGGCAGAAAAAAAAGCAAGGCACCGAGCTCACAAACAAGAAATTGTTGCTAAAATTCACCCCTAGGAACAGCTGATTGGGGGTATTCCAGGAGACTGATCCACACGCCAATCAGTTTTTTTCTTATTTTCCTCCCAAAAAACTAAGGTACGTTTTATACTCCAGTGCATTTTATACTCCAACAAATATGGTACTAGACCAAAGTGGCTCTGCGCACACACACACAATGTGAACTTACTACATCTGATAAAGTGGACTTTACTAGATGAAAGATTATGTCAAAAGACTGGTGCTATAAAGAAATAGCTTCAAGGTATGCCTTCTTGCATATTTTCCTGCATGCTGTTGTGGAGGAGGTAAACCTTTACAAAATTGTTTAACTATATAAATCATTTGCAATTGCACTGAACACATGCAGGCTAGTTTTCACCCCTCTGAACTGTGATTAACTTGCAAATATATAAATGTAGGGAAGCGTGTTGTGGATATGGCAGATATTAAATTCCATTATTTATCAGAAACATTCTTAAAAGGGTGGTAGTAGTAAGAAAAATACAACTAGAGTGAAACAGAGTTTGTATATGTAAGGGAGAGAGAAAGACAAGTGGTACAGTAATATTCCGAATATGGAATGACATTCTGAATATGGGAGTTTTCAAGGCATATCTAATAGTAGGGCAGCACTTTGGATTTGATTCAGGAGACATTTTCAGGAGAGGTGGTTCATAACAATACTTTCCAAACACTCTTTTTATTGGGACATTTCCATTTATTCCTTCCTTTTGCAAGGATAATAAATATACTCTACTCCTGCACAAGGAGGAGAGGAGAGGAGGAGAGGAGAGGAGAGAATTTTTTATTGGCCAAGTGTGACTGGACTCACAAATAATTTGTCTTAGTGCATATGCTCTCAGTGTACATAAAAGAAAAGATACTTTCTTCAAGAACCATAAGGTACAACACTTAATGATAGTCATAGGGTACAAATAAGCAATCAGGAAACAATATCAATATAAATTGTAAGGATACAAGCAACAAAATTACAGTCATACAGTCATAAATGGAAGGAGATGGGTGGTGGGAACGATGAGAAAATTAATAGTGGTGCAGACTTAGTAAATAGTTTGACAGTGTTGAGGGAATTATTTGTTTAGCAGAGTGATGGCATTCGGGAAAAAACTGTTCCTGTGTCTTGTCTCCAATACCTCAGAGGATACAAATCTGGCCTCATTCACAAGTTAGCCATGACAAAACTAAACACACAAGTTCTGATTAGCTGATATGGCTATGTAATATTCTATCTATCTACCAATAGACAGATTATTCCTTCATAAATTCACAGAATCTTAAGCACTGGAAGGACCATTTGGACCTCTGAATTCATTTCCTGGAGCTCTTCAACCTCCTTTTATATATCCCTACCTTCCTTCAAGGTGTGGCCTCCAGTCATCAAATAATATCCTTTTCTTCCTTTGCTAAAAGTTACACAACAATATTTCTTCCAACATACACCTGAACAATTATTTTCATTTCATTCTTACCTCTTCCAATGTTTTTGCCTTCCATATCCTTGAGCATCACGGACTTTCCTTTCACTATAAGAACAGCATCTCCTTCCCACTTCTTGTGCTTCTTCTTTGAGGCTTTGCACCACACAACACTGAAATATTTGGTAAGGCAGATGGGCTCCTCTGAATGTCCTGCTTTTTCTGTTGCTGCTGAATCTGTAAAAATGAAGACACACAGGAGGCCTCTGAATTGCAGGGTGCACCCAGGTATGCAAACTGAAAGACAGTTGAGCAGATCATGAAGCTGAATATTAGTTCAGCTTTTTACGTTTATTCCTTCCTGCATGGATCAGGAGAGCAGGATATCTTTTGAAAAAGGGGGAAACTTGTCTAAAGAAACTTATCTAAAAGCATCAGTAACTGAAGCTCCCCAGTATGCAGCTATAAAAATTCAGAATGATAGGATTTCACACTATGCTACCTCCAATGGTGAAATGCAATTTTTTTTCCCTATGGTTCTGTGGGCGTGGCTTGGTGGGGTCATGACTGGGTGGGCGTGGCCAAACTTTTTAAAAAAACTTTTTAAAGCATTTTTTGCTACCGGTTCAGGCAAATAGATAGTAAAAAAATGCTTTAAAAAAGTTTTTAAAAAGGTTCCAACAATCGTGCGGCACAGCTGTGATCATCGGAACCTTTTTTTTACTTTTTAAAGCATTTTTTAACTTCCCGTTCCCGTTCCCAGATCACAAAAACATTGGTTCCTGCCATCTACTCATGAGGAGCCATTGTCAGGAGTATATGTGGGCAATCTCATGATCTCTCCTTTCTCCAGAGAGGTTTTCCAGCACAAATCCCGCATCCAGCCATTGATCTCAGCCATAAGGTTGCCTCCATTTCTTCACATTTTCAGTTCACCATGTCCTCAATGGTTGTCATCAAGAATGACATTTCTTCTCCAGTCATCTGGCATTTCATCAGTTCCTCACGGTTTTTCAAAAACAATATAAAAAGGTTCATCTAAATTCTCTGCTATATTATCATAGGTCCCAATGCATTTTTTCCTGAGATTTAAATTCACTTATGAACTTCATAAATTCACTTTATGAAGCAATGTTTTTTTATATAGAGTTTAAGGGCCCAATTACACTTCTTTTTCTTTCTATAGTGCACATAGTTTTTTTTTTTCCTGATGTCTTTATTTTTCATCACCAATCTCCATTAAACCCTTCCTAATCAACTTCCCCATACTTCAGCCTCGGACATTTTCCTCAGTCTTTGTGAAGTACTTCTTGGGCCAGCAATCCAAATTTCTTTCATCAACACTATTGGACAGCCAATTATTCATATTCATATTTTCAATCCACTTCTATGGAGTAGAAGGAATAACAAGCCCAAAGGTGGAATTGTTATTTATTGTTTAATATCCATGGGGTTATTGTTGCAAACTGTTTTTTATAGCATAATTTTTCCCAAAATGGATTAGCACAAAGGAAGAACTAGGAATGAACTTGATTGATGTCTTAGAAAGTGTTCAATCACATTCCCAATCCTTATTTTTGTCAAGGAGTGCACTTTGTATGATTTTATGCCTTATTGTAGAATTGCTTCCTTCTTTCCATGATCTAACAAATCTTCATTATCTTTCATCAATCATTCACTGTTCTAATCCTTTGTTTGCCCCCAGTTGACAAATAGGCTGGATTCTTCGTAGACAGGAACAGAAAAATGCCACAAGCATTGCAGGTCACAGCTGCAAATTTCTATCCATCTATCTTCATTTTTTTTAATGTTCCCCCAGTAATTTTTTTTTAATTGTTTCTTTTTCCCTTCTCAGGCTTTCAGCTAAAACTATCAATTTAAAGGGAAAGATGGCTAGAAAAATCTCCCTTAAACTCCCCTGCTAAATTGCATTACAAACTCCTATTTGTTCTTACAGGTTGCTTGCCACAATGCTGCCCAGGCTCTTCATGAAACATGGGCTGCAAAGTCATTTGTATGTTTCTCTGGTTGTCACAGAGGGACGCAGTGGCTCAGTGGCTAAGATGCTGAGCTTGTCAATTGTGAAAGCTCAGCAATTCAGCAGTTCGAATCCCTAGTGTCACGTAATGGGGTGAGCTCCCGTTACTTGTCCCAGCTTCTGCCAACCTAGCAATTCGAAAGCATGTAAAAAATGCAAGTAGAAAAATAGCGACCACCTTTGGTGGGAAGGTAACAGCGGTCCGTGCGCCTTTGGCATTTAGTCATGCTCTTCGGCTTTGAAACGGAGATGAGCACCGCCCCCTAGAGTTGGGAACTACTAGCACATATGTGCGAGGGGAACCTTTACCTTTACCTGTTGTCACAATCCTATGTTATAATTTAAAGTTTACAATTTAGTATGGGTTTTTGGTCTGTTTTATTGTATCACACTTTGGGATTTAATAGGAAGGCTAGAAAATCTATATTAAATAAATACATCCTCCAGATTGACTCTTTGTACCAGACAGATTTTTTTTTTCTTCTGAACATTTCAAAAAGAAGTTGAACTGACAGCTGCAACTTAGGAACAAGCCTTGTGTATAACCTATTATCATAAAATGGACACTATAATTTGATTTCTTGCTTATCAGCTTCCCTTTCACAGTCTTAAGCACAGATAAGTTTCCCAAAGCAATTCATGGGGATTTTGGCAGGCAATGAGAATCACGCTGCCGAGTTAAACCCTGTATGTATTTTTCAGGCATTTTCTGAACATTATCTATATATATTGTTATGAGAAGACGACAAGACAAACATGGGAGGGAAACAAAAATTGCAGAGGCAGCTCAAACTGGACTTTCCTTTTCAAGCAACTGCTCATTTAAGAAGGAGCCTAGTAATGTAGATTTTTAATTGCTATCTTCACTGTTTATTGTGATTCTGTTATTGCATTTTATTACAAATGGTAAACCACCTTAGAAAGATCTGTACTATATGCGTAATGACAAGGCATAAAATAGCTTTCTTATGTTTATATAATTCAGATGTGAGTTTTTGCAAATACAAAGAAATGAACTAGAAGTTTAACTTAGTTGCTCTCACAACACAACTCATAAGTAGGTAGTAAACAGGAAAAACCAATATTATGAATAATTAATATTAGCATTTAATTGTAGCATGCTCCTGGCAACCTGTTTTAGATCAAGGTCATTGCCCATCACTTTCATTGATTTATCATTTATAGCAAATATATTTTCTTGTTCATCACAAAGAAAATAATTTCTAGGAGACGCCCAAAAACACACATCACACCAGACATCTCCATTATAGATCTAAAACAGACAATGCTGTAATAAGCTATTTAGATTACTGAAATATGGTTGCTTAAAATTCATGAGCCTTAGAAAGATTTGACCCTTGTTATGCATTACACAGGAATGATTATTTTTAGACAAGCTGATGACATTCTTGAAAGGAAAAGATGTAATCCTTTCAAGCCATGTTATATAAACCCAATTTACATAAATGCAATCTATTCAATTCAAGCAGGACAAAAACATGAGAGATCAAATTTAATAGGGACTGTGTAACTGTAAGGTAAGGTAAAGGTTCCCCTTGCACATATGTGCTAGTCGTTCCTGACTCTAGGGGACGGTGCTCATCTCCGTTTCAAAGCTGAAGAGCCAGCACTGTCCGAAGACGTCTCCATGGTCATGACTAAACGCCAAGGGCGCACGGAACGCTGTTACCTTCCCACCAAAGGTGGTCCCTATTTTTCTACTTGCATTTTTTAACATGCTTTTGAACTGCTAGGTTGGCAGAGGCTGGGACAGGAGCTCACCCCGTTACGTGGCACTAGGGATTCGGACTGATGAACTGCCAAGCTTTCGATTGACAAGCTCAGCATCTTAGCCACTGAGCCACCATGTCCCTTGTGTAACTGTAGTTATACATATTAAATACATATGTGTGTTATGCCCCAGAAGAGAGACTTATGATCATGATTACTTCATTGCATTTTAACAGAGGCATCTCCAGAATTAAGTAAATGAAACAGTATATATGTAAATGTTACTTAACTATTTTACATGCAACTTGCTTAAATATCATGCATTTAAGTAAGGTTATTATTTATTTATTAAATCTATACATGGTGTAACTCCATCCCACAATTGGAAAAGTTCATCCTACTGCTGTCCACATGAATTCATCCTTTTGATTTTAATTGTAGTTCAATAATTTGAAGGGAAGTATGGAGAGACAGACACAGATATTGGGATTTTATTTTCTGACCAAAATTGCTGTTGACTGTTGTTACGTGATCTCAGCTTGGTGTGTCTCAAAAAAAAAAAAAAAAAAGGTGAGGGGGACACTGAAACTGTCATAAATATGAACCAGTTGCCAAGTATCTGAATTTTGATCACTTGATCATGAAGTCATAACTGTGAAAAACGGTCATAAATCACTTCTTTCAGTGTTGTTGTAACTTTGAATGTTCACTAAACAAACTATGTTGTATATTGTATTTAAATTTTTCTTTTGGAAAGGGATATTTTAAAAGATGTAAAATAAGTTCATATTAGTCATTGCAATCTTACCCTTATTATACGTTTGATGCATTAAAAAAGAATCACTATCTAATTTCACAAATAACTACATTATAAGGCATCTTATTTGCCTCAGAGATCCCTGGCAAATCTCACTCCAAATTGGGTGATGATAATTTCCACCAGTTCCATGCACCTCCCCCTAGGTTAACCAAGGGTAATAGGAATTGCAGCCCACTAGATCTGGAAGACCAAACAGGGGGAAAGATGAGCTATAATATATAACTTGGTACTTTTTCCATTCCTTTTTAACATCTACATGAGGCCACTGGGTGGGATCATCCGCTGCCATGAGATGAAGTACCATCAGTACACTGATGATATTCAGTGTCTATAACTCCATCCCAGGTGACCCAATGATAACGTCACTGTTTTCTCAGTGTGTCTGGAGGCTGTGGGGCAGAGATGGGTTTCAGTAGGTTCTGAGAACCAGTAGCAGAAATTTTAAGTAGTTCGGAGAACCGGTAGTAAAAATTCTGACTGGCCCCGCCCCCATCTATTTTCTACCTTCCAAGTCCCAGCTGATCAGGAGGAAATGGGGATTTTGCAGTAACCTTCCCCTGGAGTGGGGTGGGAATGGAGATTTTACAGTATCCTTCCCCTGCCATGCCCACCAAGGAATGCCCACAGAACTGGTAGTAAAAAATTTTG